AAAAAAAAAAAAAAAAAAAATCTTGAAATGTCAAAAAATGGTGACTACTTTGCACCAATTTCAACATAGAAACAACCAAAACTTTAAAATTCATAATACCATTCAATAGCCTCTTTTTCTGAAAAATATACACTAGAATAAGTAAGGGCGTCTCCAATGGTTAGCTATTTGGCTAACTATTATGACGTGGATAGAGGAAAAGTAAGAGAGAGAGTAGTCACTAGCTACTAACAAATAGCTTATCTATTTCACGTAGCCCAAGATTATGTGAGAGGAGTATGTGGGTCCAATAGTGTAAAATAGTTATTTTTCTTATCTCTCACATCCATGTCAGCTGACTATATAGCTAGTAATAGCTATTACCATTGGAGATGCCCTAATAAGTGGCACAAAACTTTTTCTAGCCAAACTTTTCCTCAACAACAACAACACAATATATACAAACTCTCCAAGAAAATGATTATATCTCATTTCACATGATGACCAAGAATATATTTCTTTTTCTTTTTTAAACCAAAAAAATAAAATAAAACAAAATAAAATAAAATAAATTAGATGACCCCTTACATATAAGTCAGCACTTTCAAAGGCCCCCACAAACACCCCAATTTTATCTCCCCTTTTTCTCTCTAATTCTGTGTGTCTCTTTGTATGGAATTGTGCAGCTCTGAAAAAATAGAATTTTTTTTCAACACCAAAATTTCACACACACACACACATTCATTACAAGGCTGCAAAATTTCATGCAAAAAAACCATTTGACCTACACACAAAAATTAACACAACACACCCAAAAAATTAAAAAAAAAAAAAAATATTTTCTTGATGGGCTTTGGGAGAAAAATAGTTTGTTTCAATTTTGGTGTTGTTCTGCTTGTCATGATGGTTTTGCTGTTAAAGATGAATCTGTGTTTTGCAGAAGGCCGATTCGCGACGCAGAAAACGGGCTTTTTCCCGAGCAATAATCATATTATTAATGGTGTCGAAAGAGTTCATAAAGTAGAGAATGTTAATGTTATTGCACCTAATGGAGATGAAGTTTTTGGAGCTGAGAAAAGAAGAGTGTACACTGGTCCAAATCCTCTGCACAACAGAAGATGATGACAAGTTAGTGTAATTAGTAGTTAAAAAAAAAAGAATATTGGAAATAAATAATGGATATAGTTTTATATATTAATACATAGTACTATATATCAATTAATGTTCTTGAATATTTTCTCATTCAAGAATATATATATATATATATATATATATATATATATAAATGTTTTGATTTTCTAGGTTTCTTGATTTAGCTTTGTTTTTGTTCTAATTAATTTGGTCTTGCTAGTTGCTACCAGGTGATGTTTACTGTTGAAAGTTTTATTTTATTTATTATTATTATATTTTTTTTGTTGCTAGTAGTTTTTTGAGGAGGCATCATCTTTGTATATATGAAGATTTTTGTTGAGGGTGTTTTTTTATTTTATTTTTTTTTTTTTTGGTAATTTTGGTTGAAGAAAAGAATTTAATATATATTGCTAAAATGGTACAATTGTTTTCTTGTATTTATTAATTGTGAGAATATTTTTTAATAATCAATAAGCATAAAGCATAAAAAAGAAGTAAATTAAGTAGGTCTTTTTATTATAAGTTAATTAATTACAATATCCAGTGATGAAATTCAAGAGGTGGTAGAGGAGATTTATTAACACTATAGTGTTTATAATTATTTGATGGGGATAATTATATGTTAGCATATAAAGTGTTAAAAAATTGTATGTATTAAGCTAAGTTATATAATTATTTATTTATTTATTTAATATTTGCTGCAGTTGAACCCAACACGCCATTGTTAATTATCACCAAATCTATTGTTGATGATGATCACTATAATTATAATCATACAAAATAACAATTATATTTTTCATTATCTAAATTTCTTTGGCACGTGCATGTACATATGTATGGATTGCCCGCAAAAAAATATTGCAAGATATTGTTAAACAAATAATAATAATAATAATAATAATAATAATAATAATAATAATAATAATAATAATAATAATAATAATAATAATAATAATAATAATAATAATAATTTAGCTTATAAGGTGCACGAAGTATATAAAAGAATGAAGTATCAAGTTGCATTACCCCGTTAGGTCGGTTCTAGGCGGTCTTTTGATATGTACTTTCAGTTTATTCAGTTGTTGGTTGTTTGTATTCAGATGTTGACTGTTTGTATTCAGCTGTGGCTGTACTTTTGCATTTTTGTGTAATTTTATATATAATACGTATATCGTTTCGGAAAAAAAAAGTTGCATACTATATGAAAAGAAAAAAAGAAAATATTAACATTTGAATGAATATTATATATTTGAGCATAATAATTTAATTAGCTTATAAGGTACATGAAAATGATGCATGTATTTAATTTCACTTGAGAGCATGAAGAAAAAATTTGAAATTGTGTTTTTTTTGCTCATTAACAAGGAAACATCAAAAGGCACACTCATGCACAAGTATGAAAATTTAAAGCAATTGCTGT